ATAATTAATAGATGATGTTCCAAATAGTAATTATTTTGGAACATCATATGTTGAAACTACAATAATTACAGCACTACAATAATTACAATAATTAACAGATGATATTTCAATTTTCAAATAGTAATTATTACTATTTGGAACATCATCTGTTGAAACTACAATAATTACAGCACTACAATAATTACAATAATTAACAGATGATGTTCCAAATAGTAATAATTACTATTTGGAACATCATCTGTTTCAACTACTACAATAATTACAGCAAGAGCAACAAATAATTGCGGTAATTATTATACAGAAGGGACAACAATTAGTTTGGTTTGAAGCAACTAATAAAGTAATTTTCAGTAGGAACTACAAATTATCCGAACAATTAATATTTCGAACATCATCAGTAAAATTTGCAATAACTACTTTAATTAAAACAACTAATAATTGTATCAATCATCAGTTATTTCTATAACATAAAATTATACAAAAATAATGGAATTTTTAGTTGGTATATCAGATTAAGTTCACATATAATCTGATGTACCAAAAAATTAGAAACAAAAAATTGGAACAACAAATAAAACAATACAAAATTGGAGCAATCTGGACAATTGGAACAATCTTTCAGAATAGAATGTTTATAATTGAAACAAATATTTCCAAGGGACAACTATTTGTTAAAACAATCATAAATCATCAACAACCATCACACATTTTTTCTAAGGATATCAAATTGAGACAAAAAACGAATCAAAAGTGTTGCGAAGCAACATTATTGCTTCGTTTTTTGTCTCAATTTGATATATCCTTAGAAAAACCATGTACATACTAGATTTAAATTCGTGTTGGTTTTAAACTAATAGTTAAATAAATAAATCCAGTAAACTCATAAACTTAATTTGTACAATATTCTAAATCAAACTCCTAAAGTTTTCAATTTAAAAAAACTATCAATTTCGCCTCTATATATAACTCTATAAATCTCAAACTCTCCAATTTCTCTCCATTTTTACGCTCATCACCTCATCTCTTTCATTGAAAAACAGTTTTTTATTCACCACGCACATAACGATTATAAATCCACGATTGTTAAACTATTGACCTTTAAAATTAAACTTTGTGCTTTTGGTGCTATATCACACATAATATATATATTAACAGAATAATAAAAAGGCATCATGAACTTATATTAATCAGCGTCGATCATAATCTAACGAAATTAATGTAAAAAAGTCACGGAAAACTACATATACGTATACGCGATTATGAATATATGTGTTTCTGGAATCTGACTATATTCAGACGCATATAATTAAGTCTTTTTGGCTGATTGTTGGCAGTCGAAAACCCGCCTTATGAATCATTTGAGGAATCATTAATCTTATTTTAAATCGTTATTCTCGTAGTATTACTTATTATGCTTGTGAATAAGTATCGTTATTCTCACATTAATTCATTCAAAAAAGGTGCGGAAAACATATTGATATTTAAACCTACTGCGTGTTTTAGCAAATATTTTTAGAGAAATTTATTTCTTATTTAAGGGATTATGTATAAATATTTAGTGTTCTGTATTCAGTATTATATTAACCTTTAGAGGGCTGATAAATTTGCACAAATTTTAGTAGTTTTTTTATTAGGAAAAATTTATAAATAAGAAGTCCATTCAATAAACAGATTCGTTAAAATAAATGGTGGCCATATACTATATACTGCCCGGCGGTCCTCATTTTAAGTATACTATATGTTAAGTATTATTTTAAGTACTGTATTAAGTATTAGATTAAGTACCATGTTAAGTATTAGATTAAGTACTATATTAAGTATTAGATTAAGTACCATGTTAAGTATTAGATTAAGTACTATATTAAGTATTAGATTAAGTACTATATTAAGTATTATTTTAAGTACTACATATATTAAGTATTAGATTAAGTACTATGTTAAGTATTATATTAAATACTATATTAATAAGTATCACATACGGAAAAAAAATTTCATCTAGTGATAAATTTCTCTAGAATATCGAAAGTTATAATTGAAACAACTATAAATTTCGCAAATATAACGAAATTTGTTAGAGTTATATTTCTTTTCTTGTAAATTAATTATTGTATTAAGTATTTATACACAGTCAATATTTATTTATCATCCAGATGAAAATAAAATATTTATTTTGTCCAAAAAATTTTTTTCCTCTTCCTCTCTATATTATTTCATTTAAATTATTATTCCGGAATATGTCTTTATGTTTGTAAACTTTCTAGTTATTTTCAGACGTAATTTATCTTATTCTTAGACAGTTAAAAATTGTCTCCCTCGTATTATAATAATTTGATTTATATCTCGTTTTGATATAAAAAAAACGGATTTTTTTTTCATTCCTTTCTGGAATTTCTATTATTTAACGACACACACACATTTTGACGCAAGCGGTAAGTTACGTTTATTTTATAATTCCTGTTAATCTTATTAAACAATTATAAAATTAGGGATTATTCGTACTATTTGGAAGATTATTAACGAAATAAAGAAAATAAGGAAAATAAAGAAAATATAGAAAATAAAGAAAATAAAGAAAATAAAGAAAATAAAGAAAATAAAGAAAATATAGAAAATATAGAAAATATAGAAAATATAAAAAATAAAGAAAATAAAGAAAATATAGAAAATATAGAAAATTTAAAATAAATAAAGTAATAATAATAATTAGAAGAAGAAGAAAAAGAACAGTAATAAATAAAATCGTCTTCGATCCAATTGAAAAAACTACTCTAAATATAGTAAAATTTCTCAAAAACGTAAAGTATTGTACAAAAATGAAATTTTCTTCTAATTCTGGTGAAGGAAAATTTTTCAAATACGGGATGTAATTTTCCTCTAGGGATAATAAGTGACATGTGGCGTTCAAGGCTATACTTATTGTTTTTCTTTTACATAATTTCCCTTGCGCACATGCTAAAAATATAACAATGAAATTTGAAAATAAAATTTACAGTAGGTATACTATACCTATAGTTTTTGTACAATGAAATTTAAAAGCGTCTCGTGTTAAAATCACGCAAGTTTCCTGTGTGTTTTGCGTATAGTCCCGCACGTTTTTCGGGGGTGTAACACACAATACAATGTTTTCAGCACCCAGAGAAAATTTGCATTCTTTCTCACCCTCGTAACATTTATACACGTGTTGCTAAAATTTTCTTTTCCGAAACTAGAGCAATTTATGACCATGGAAAGTGCCGCGGATATTTCGACCTGCGACCCGTCGCATAGCTTTTCGTTTCAACCACAGAAATATACATGTATACAATTTCCAACAATTTTTGTTAGTTTTCACAATTTCTGTTAATTTTCAAATTTTCAAAGTTTTCCCCACTTTTATTAATGATTAACAGAAAAAATATTTTTTCTATGAAACTTTCGTTTTTGTAATATTTTATACCTAAATTTTTCTTCGCTAATAATCTACTGAATTTAATACGTAAAATAATAAATAATACACAAATGTAAATAAAATGAATGAAAAAAACTGAAATTTTCTTTCTTTTATTTTTTAGTCTTTAATTTTAATTTAATATACATTTTTTTAAAGTAACTGTATAAATTATGTTGAAAGAGATTAATATTTTTTGTTTTGGAATTTTTTTTTTCACTTAAGAAAAATGTGTTGGAAAAAAGTATGGAAAATCATATTTAATTAAGTTTCTTGGGATCGGAAATAAAGACTAGGAGAAAATTATTTTAAAGGTGTGAGAATGAATGCGTTTCTGTTTGATTCAAAGTCGTAATTTGAATAGATTAGAATGAGACTTCCATGAATTTCCATTTATCTCAATAAATTTAAATAAATTATATTCATTTTAAATACATTTCATTGAATAATATATATACATATATTACTTTTTAAGCCGTACAAATTTTTCAGGTTTCAAATTATAATCAAAATGTGATTTTTTTCGAGTTTTCGAAAAAGATTTTTTTTACCATCACTTTTTGGAAATATAAATGTATGCAGAGTATAAATAGATATTTAAGTATCAAAATATTTTTGTAAGTATAGTTTTAAAAGTGATTTTTCACTGCTTTTATTTTTTTCTTTCATTTTTCATTTTTTTTTTAATTTTTAAAGAAAAAAAATTAATCTCTTTTTAAAGTTTCCGCATTTTTTGAAGTCATCGCTTTATTTTTTCTAGAAAAAAATACATTTACGAAATATAAATGTATTTTCAAAATGTAAGTATAGTTTTTAAATATGAAAATAATTAATTTGTCAATATAAATATAGTTTGTAGTTTTAGTTTTTTGTAATTTTCTAATTTTCACAAATTTCTAATTTTTAAAGAAAAAGTTCAACTTATTTTTAAGAAATTTTCATTTTTTTGAAGGAAGTTTGTTATTCTTTTTTTAAAAAAAGATAAAATTTGCATTCTTTGAAATTTATTTCCCCTGGAAAAATTTTAAAGAACAAATTAAAGATTTTTTAAACAAATTTCCGCTTTTTTTGAAGGCATCATTTAATTCTTTTTTGAAAAAAAACATTTTCGTAATATAAATGTATTTTCAAAATGGTAAATATATTTTTTAAACATAAAAATAATTTTGCAAATATAAATATAGTTCGTTACCGCCTTTATTTTCTTCTAATTTTCTTATTTTTGAAGAAAAACTTGAACTTTATTTTAGAAATTTCCATTTTTTGAAGGAAGTTTGTTATCCTTTTAGAAAAATGTAAAAATTTACTTCCTTTGTAGTTTTATTACACTTATAAAAATTTTGATTCGAAAACTTTGATTATAAAAAAAAATATTACTATTGAAAAGAAAATTTTAATTTTCTTGATTTCGATGAATATTTCGAAAAAAATGTTTTATTTTTACAGAATAAAATTCAGAATTGTTGAAATTGTCTGCCGGCGCGGCGCACTGTTTTAATTGTAATTTTCTTTCAAAATTAACTTGAATTTTACAAATCTATAAGTTATTGTTTATAATTATTTAAAAACTTACCTGACTCCAAAAATCTTTCGAATTCAGTTGCATCTTCTTTCTGCAAGTTTTTCACAAGTTTTTAACAATTTTTGCCCTCCAATGAATCTATGATTTTAGCCCAAAAAATACAATTTAAATATTATTTACCTTTCATTTGTAATTTTATTTATTGAATATTTAAAATTTTCTATTATTTATTTTTTATTTAAATTTCTTCTTATCATTTATTCAAATTTTTTCTTATTATTTATTTCTTGATAATTTTTTCCTATTACTGATGTTTTACTATTTTGTTATTATTTATTTCATACTTGAATTTTTTTCTATTTTTCATTCAAATTTTTTACTCCATAATTCTTAAATTTTCTTAATTATTTATTTGTGATCTAAAGTTATTATTTATTTATTATTTTCAAATAATAATGAAAAAGATAAAAAAATACAAATAGGATGAAAATTTTCTATAGTTAATAGTCCCTCAATTTTTAACTTTGAATGTTTCCCTTTTTTAAACAGTATAAATTTGAAAATGATGGAAACTTTTAGCTAAAAAATCTGTTTAAAAAATACAATAATTTAATAAATAATTAAAAGTAGTTGAAGGATACTTGTATATTTATTCGTCACGAAAAATAAAATACAACCGAAGAAGACAATGCAGAAAAAAATAAAAATATACAAATATTTAAATTATTATTTAGTCCTAGTGTTTAAATAATCTTTTTAATAATTTATTAACAAACTCAAAATATTTACTAAAAATAGTTTTAAAAAAAAATTCGATACCTTGCTCCAAAAAAAAATTGCACTTTATTTTTCAGTTTTCTTCAAATTATTTCAGTTTTGTTCACAAAAATTACTTTTTTTTTTGGTAAAAAAAAGACGTTGGAGACAATGAAAATGCACGTCCGGATATTAGAAAAAATCGATATAAAGTGAGAGAATTAGTTGATGATTTCTCCGCAACGGTGATGGCAGCACCTCACTGTGATTTCCAGTGACTACCATGAATGGCCGCATTTTTTTCCTTTCTTTTTTTTTGGACAGATTAGGCTAATGCTCGAAGTCCTGATGAAATATGGGCCAGCGAATGAGAGTACGGTACTGGATTGTCAGGGGCGGTCCGTACCCTGGAAACAGCGTGCCCCATGCCCGCAACCTTGACGTTAACTAAGTACTGGGTGGAGCGCCGTCTAGGCACTACCTACTCCCTGGAACCATCATCCTCCTGGTGTCACGGTTGTATATACTTAATGGCCGACTCCCGTCCCTCTCCCTATAAAGGGCGCCAGTTTTCGAATTTTCACCAATTTTCAAAATTTTCTTCAAAGTTTTCTTCGATTTTCTTTGGAAATTGGGGAAAAATTGAGAAAATGTTTTTTTATTGCAATTTCTTCAGTTGATGACAGTTGTAATTGTTGATTGCTTCCCTTTCGATTGATTTCGTTATTGATTATTGGTCCTTTGCTTTCTTCTTCTTCGATTTTCATTGGAACTTGAAGAAAAGTAGCTAAATTGATTATTTCCAACTTCTTTTTGTTGATGACAGTTTTGTAATTATCGACTGCAGGTTGATTGATTTCGTTATTGATTATTAATCCTTTGGATTCTTCTTCTTATTTCCCACTCTTTTTTTTATTGTCTTGAAGATATTTTTCTTTTAGAAAAAAATGTCAATTCTCGCTTCTTGAGAAGTTTCCTTTCTTCTTTTCCGTTAATATCTCGAAAGCATTCGATTTCCTTGTTGATCATCTTCAATCGATTCTAGAAAAAGAAAAAATATTCCTTTTTATTTTTTTAGTTATAAGAAGATAAATATTTCTTTATATTTTTTAGTTAGAAAAAGAAATAACGAAATTGGTTATAATAGAAATAATGAAGAACAACTTTGAGGCTATAGTGAGACGTGTGATGTCAATACGGGAGGTACGGCGCATGCGCACCCCCACTCTTAAAGTTTTGCGCGCGCAGCTTTCTAAACTAAGTGCACCCAGCGTACACTCGGTCTATATGACCTATAAACGTACAATTCTATACAAAATATCTTTCAATTTTGAAAATTTTTAGCGAAAAAATAGTGGAATTTTTTCCATATATTTAAACCAATGGCAAAAAATGGAGAGAAGAAAGAAAGTTTTTTTTATGTTTTTAAAGTTTAATGTCAAAATTTGGAACTGTGGGAGAGCAAAGTATGGCAAAACATGGGAAGAAGAAAAAAACTATTTTTAAAAATTTTTAAACTATATGGACAAAGGAAAAAAAAGTTCTTTTCAAACTATATATTTTCAAACTATGCGGGCAAAGTATGGCGAACAGTACGAAATGTTTTTTTCATATTTTCATACTATATGGTAAAAAATGAGAAGGAAAAACAAAGTTTTATTCATATTTTTTAACTATGGGCAAAGTATGGTGAACCTTATGAAGAAGAAAAACTATTTTTTTTATATTTTTAAACTATAAAAGATGTCGAAGCAAGAAAAACAAAATTTTGCCCACAGTTTAAAAATGTGAAAAAAAACATATTTCGTACGGTTTGACATACTTTGCTCATATAGTTTAAAAATATGAAAAAAATAGTTTTTCTTCTTATCACGATTCACCAATATATATATAACTTTGCCCACAGTTTGAAAATATGAAAAAAAAATATTTTCTTTATATGGTTCGTCATACTTTGCCCTTAGTTTATTGAAAATATGAAAAAAACATTTTTATTTCTTCCTACACTGTAAGAAAAATTATGGAAATTTTCCCAAAAAAAATTTAGGAAGCGAATTCCACTAATTATTAAGAGAAATTCACTAATATTTTTCCAAAAAACTTTTTTTCTAAAAAATGATCTAAAACTTCCTATGAATTTAGAAACATTCCCATGAATGAATAATTTTTAGAAAAATCTCAAAAATTTAGAAACAACACTGTAAGAAAAATTTTGGAAATTTTCTAAATAAAAAATTTAGGAAGTAAATTACACTAATTATTTAAAAAAAATCACTAATATTTTTCTAAAAAATTATCAAAAACTTCCTATGAATTTAGAAACATTATCCCATAAAATAATTGTACAGAAAAAATTCCAAAAGTTTAGAAAAATTTTCTTAAAAGTTTAGGAAATTTTCATTATGAAAATATAAAAAAGTTTCTCAAATTTTAGAAAAATTACTTAATAAAAAGTTTAGGAAACTTTCCTTATGAAAATATAGGAAAAATTCTAAGAATTTAAATTCCCATATAAACGTTTGGAAAAATCCCTTGAAAATAATAATAGAAAAATTTTTGTTAACGTCTTGAACATTTCCTTAAAATAATATGTAAAAATTCTCATAAAAATTGGGAAAATTACTTTTAAAAATAATTTTTTTTCTTCTCATAGTTTGCACATATACTTTGCCGATGGTTTAAAAACATTTAAAAAATATTTTTTTTCTTCATTAGGCTCGACATATACTTTGTCCATAGATAGTTTATTGAAAATTTGAAAAAAATCATTTTTTTTTCTTCCTACAGTGTAAGAAAAATTTTGGAAATTTCCCGAAAAAAAATTTATGAAGTAAATTCCACTAATTGTTTTTAAAAATTTACTAATATAAATAAGGGAATTTATTTTTCTAAAAAATTATTGAAAACTTTTCATGAATTTAGAAACATCAAGAAATAATTTATAGAAAAAATCCCAAAAGTTTGGAAAAATTCTCTTAAACATTTAGGAAATTTTTGTTATGAAAATGTAAAAAAAGTTTTTTGAAATCTTGGAAAAATTCCTTAAAAAGTTTAGGAAACTTTTCTTATGAAAATATAGAAAAATTTCTGAGAATTTGAAAAAATTCTCGCGCATAAACGTTTAAAAAAAATTCCTTTAAAATAATATAGAAAAATTGCCAAAAATTTGGAAAAATTTCTTTTAACTTCTTGAAAACTTCCTTAAAATAATATATAAAAAATCCCCAAAAACATTGGAAAAATTATTTTTAAAAATATAGTTTTGCTTTTTCTCATGATTCACCATAACTTACAGTAAATTATCCATTTAATAAAATTTTATATTATTTATTAATTTTTTTATTTTATTAACATGAATTGGCTTAAAACCTATATTGAATAAAAAAACCTACACGGAGAAAAATATAAAGTAACTTTTGCTACTTTTATAGTAAAAAATTTCCGGTAAAGCATTTCTGGTAATTTTTACTATACTTTTGGAGTAAATTTTGCTACGTTCGAAGTAAATATTTGTAAAAATAAGTAAAATTTACTTCGAACGTAGCAAAATTTACTCCAAAAGTAGTAAAAATTACCAGAAATGCTTTACCGGAAATTTTTTACTATAAAAGTAGTAAAAGTTACTTTATATTTTTCTCCGTGTATTTACTTAATGAATTATACATTTAATAAAATTTTATATTGATTATTTATTAATTTCTTTATTTTATTAACGTGAATTGGCATAAAACTTATTGAACACTCATTGCTATAGTTTAATAAAAACATGAAAAAAATAGTTTTCTTCTTCTTTTTCTTCCCATGGATGTCCATAATTTGCTCATATATAGTTTAAAAATATGAAAAAAATCTACTTTTTTTTCTTAATAAGGTTCATATTTTACTCATTGTTTGAAAATGTGAAAAAATATATTTTATTTTTCATAAGGTTCGCCATACTTTTTGCCCATAGTTTAAAAATATGAAGAAAAACATTGATTTTCTTTGCCCATATTAGTTTAAAAATTAAAAAAAAAATAGTTTTGCTTTGTCCCATGTTTACCATACTTTGCCCATAGTTTGAAAATATAAAAAAATAGTTTTGCTTCTTCCCATTGTTCGCCATTCTTTGCCCATAGCTTGAAAATATGAAAAAAATTAAAAATATAAAAATATAAGATTAATTTTATAAAAAAATTCAGTCATGAAATTCATTCAGTCGTATTAATATTGAAATTTTGTTAAAGCGATCGTTTCATATAATTATTTACCCACTAAATTAATAATTATTTAAAAAAAAACAGTGATTTCAGAAAAGAAATACCTTCTCATCCCCCCTCTTCTCAAATTTTTCCTTTCTGAAGCTAATATATTTTTCGTCTCCATAAAACCTGTCCAATTTTCAATTTTTCCCCATAAGAGAAAAAGAGAAGGAAGTGAAAAATCTCCCCAGCGATCTGAAAACATAAATCGAATAACTTTCTTTTTCCTCTGATGTTTGTTTTTTTTTCTATTATTTAAGCTTTTTCGACCCAAGAGTAGTAGTTGGATCCTCGTGCACACATGGGATAAAAAAAAAAACGAGATAGAATACTCTGTTATAGTATATATATATATATATATATATATATATATAGCAGAGTGGGAAATGGTAGAAGGAAGGTGAAGGGGGGGGGGGAGGTGGGTGGTGTTCGCGAAACTCTCGCGATTCTATATAGCAGGCGGAGTTGACACCCAGGGGGATACACACCAAGTGTCATCGAGGCATCCTGCTAATTGCGAGAATGTTTTGTAACCCTCCGCGCACGAGAGACCCCTACGCATCCCTTACAAGCTTTTGCATTTAACCTCTTGCGCGCCTATATATATCGAGGCCATACCTCGAATCGCGCAGGGAAAAAGCGACCTGTGTCTCTTCTCTTTTATAGTCGCGTATATAGTTTCGCTTTGGTAAACTCTTTAATGAACTGGTTTTCGAATTCAATTCTTGTCATTAAGAAAATTGTATACTTGGATTGAGAAGAAGAAGAAAAAACAACGCAGAGCGCTTCTTTAATGATTGGGTTAGAAATTTTTATTTTTTTTTTTCAGAAAATAAAAATAAACATGTAATTTAAAAGTATTTAATGTTTCTCAAGGAGCGCACTTAAAAGTAAATTAGTTAATTTTTTTTTTGCATTTTTTTAAAAGAAAAAAAAATGTAATATGAAAAATATTCGTTTTTTAAATGTATATAACTTATCATTATATTATATAGCATTAAAGAAGCAATTTTAAGAGAAATCCCCCTTTCTCTTATTTTATTTCTTTAAAGATTTTATAAGATTCAGTATCAAAATAAGAAAAAAATGTTTTTTTTAAAAGAAAACATGTTTTTATAATTTAATTTTTTGTCCGCAGAATCAAGAAATACTGAAAAATATTTTTCATAAAATAATATTATTATTAATAATAATTAATAATTATAATATTAATAATAATAATATTAATAATAATAATATTAATAATAATAATAATAATAATTAATAATAATAATAATAATAATAATAAAATAATATTAATCTCCGTATTCATTCATTCATTCTGTCCGCAGTTTGAAGTTTAGTTTCTGTATATGCTTTTTTTAAATAATGTTTGACAAATCAAAAATATGCAGGTATTTTTTTATGATTTATAATAAAATAATATTAGAAATTAGAAAATTTAAAAAAAAATTATGAATAAAAAATATACTCATTTTGTTTGTAGTATGCTTTTTTCTATATTAAATTTAGTTTTACTGATCTAAACAATTTATGCAAATTATTCTCCCTTTTATTTATAAAAAATACTTGAAAATTGTTAATTGTTAAAAAATTTTTGATTTCGAAGTAGGAAATACACCCATTTTATGCATAATTTTTATTTCTCAATAACAATATTGTTTACAAACTCATTTTTTTCTTTTGGCAAGAAAAACATTAGATATTCCCGTTTCTTAATATTTTTGTAGAAAATTCTGAATTTTTATAAGCAAATAATTTGCATCAATTCTATTTCTTAATTTCAATTGTTTTAATAAA